ATTACAAAAAGCGCAATTCCAAGAATCAATAGAACCTCCGAAAAATGGGGGCCCAAACATTGTCAAGACACCTGAAATCAAGGAAAGCGACGGGGGCTTTGTTGGGCCAGTATAATACAAAAGAAGGAATTGAGTCAAGGGCGAAAGATAGCACAGGGTCGGGAAGTGGTTCGTCACATGGTCCAAGTTGCCCTCGATACCTGTCTCTTATACACATCTAGATGTGTATAAGAGACAGGTGTGAGAGTATGTGTGTGTTCGCGGGGGGGAGGCGACCCCCCACTTCATATCAAACAATCAATCAACCTATCATTTTTTTTAATGTTCTTTTTTTTTTCCGTTTTTTTTTTTTACGATCAATCAATCCGTCCATCCATCAATCAATCAATCAATCAAAATCAAACAATCAATCAATCAATCAATCAATCAATCAATCAATCCATCATCAATCAATCAAACAATCAATCAATGAATCAATGAATCAATGAATCAATCAATCAAGAATTTTTTTTTTTTCTATTTTTTTAATTAATTTTCGCACTCATAAGAAATTACCCTCCCCCCCGAAAAAAAAAATATTTTTGAATGTGCAGTCCTCTAGAGGACAACGTGCGCAGGCCGAGGCCGCGCGCCGATTTTTCACGCACGGCCTTGGTTGAGCCTAGCGAGGTCGCAAAAATACTCGGCCGCACGGCCTAGGCCGTGGGCCCGCGGCCGGCCTCCTCGGCTGCGGCCGAGTCGGAGGCAGATGCGGCCTAGGGGGACACATAGGCCGTGCTCAGTCGCACACTCTACTCCCGCCGCGCCTGAATTCTAATCTCAACTGTAAGCTGTTCTTGCTCCTCCCTACACGAGCGCGGATATAACTGTAATCTTCTCACCTCGGGCTTCTCATCGCGCCAAGACACACAACCTTCTCTCCCTCTATCTCATTGGCCACAACGGGGCATGACTGGATTAATGCGTGGAGAGTGGCTACGTCCCCCATGCTGCGACTCAGGCATGCCTATTGCAGGCACTTTCTCCTCTCTTCTTTCTCTGCCGCAGCATAATCCTGACTATCTCGCGTTGATGCTAATAGCTATAAATTTTACAAGCACGACAAA